TCATAATTTCTTTTAACACATTAATGTGTTGTCCAACGCCAACCTAATCGTGTTTGGATGGCAATTTCTTCAAATCGCCCCTCTGGCCACAGCGTCTCTCTTCCCTCCACCGCCTGCTTAGACGCGCAGCAACCCAGATGTCGCAGTTTGCACCTCCTCGTCAAAGCCAAACTCGCATTCTGCAACATTAAATCTGTCAAAACAATAACTGTTTCAATGACATCGTATTGCTTTTTGCCAATTTTTAGCTATCAGCATACCACAACCCCAAAACCATCTACCAATGCATTTCGCGTTGAGGGAACTCATCGAGTGCGGTAGCTTTCACCTAGGAAGGGAGGCATGCCTGCGTAACCGAGTGATTTCATTTCGACAGCTCGTCAACATTCTTCTAAAATACTTGGGTGAACTTGCACAAACATGTAGAGAAATACCGCATTCTGGAGGGTTCGACGCATCGCCGTCAAGTCAGCGTCAACACTGAAGCATGGGAGTAGAGATAGTGCTACCGTCATTCCCAAACAGAGAACGTGTTACTTCGCACCCAACCCAATGTGTTTCGTAATTTCTCCTCCTTTCCCCCACCGCGTAGCTGCATTGCACCAATAAAGTGGACACCTCAATCCGGAAAATTGAGTCATGCTAACTGACCTCACAGTACATGGAGAACAGTTGTTTAATGCTACCTACTTCCAGAAGGTTCCACAAACGTCTCGCACAAACGCTTTTGCATTCCCCAGCATGACAGTACCCTCGTCAACTCAACGTTTTGTCTGCTACACTCACCTACGGCATTTCTCCCTCCTTGGTAAAACTAACAGCTTAAACCACCAATGCAGAAGACTCTATGATGGAAGCATTTCCACATCGACAAACATCACCAACATCCCACCCCCCAGCTAGCTGAAGCACCAATAACCAAACTGCACCGATTCCCTTCATAACCATCTGCTCAACCTCTCACACCATGAACGCAATCCTCACTCAAGCAGACGCTCTCCATTCCCACGACTGTTCACTCTCATTTCCATTGGTGCATCCACCACATCCAATTAATACCATGCCTTCCAATAAATTCTACCGCAAAGCCATGCCTTTTCCTACGCAATGCTGTAATCATGTAAACATTCTTGGGTACTGCAGTTTACTTGCAAATAAAAGCGGCTAAATGGTGTGCACGAGAAGGAGAAAAGTGGAAAGACGATCCATCTCTTCAGGGTGTTTCATTACATCCGATGGCATGACGAAACGCATCACCTTATAACCTTCTCTATAATGTTCCACTGACATGCGCGCATTCACCCTGGTCGAGGTCACACACACGCCTATGACCAAATGTACACACATTCAGCATATCGCTTCCTGTCATCGCTACCACTCTTATTCTCGTTCTCCTCACATTGTCCACAATGTCCCGATAAAAGGCGCTGCTTTTCGATTCACATCCAACGCTTCATTCATCGCCATTACGAATGACAAACTAATTGCCATTCGGTGGAAAGGGTTGGGTGTCCTGCGGCAAGAACCTAGCCAGTAGGTCGAGAAAAAGATGACTCCTTCCAAACACGCTTCTACCTCCGGTGGCATAATCAACACACCAATCCCAACCATACGACCTGATCCAAGTGCATCGTCGACGACGATTCGAGGTTGCGAATTCTGCTTCTAGTAGAGAGAATGAATCTAGCAGAGACATTGCTACGTAGCGCTTTGCTTTTCAGTAATACCCATTCATTTGATGAAAGTGCAGGCTTCACAGTTGCAGAATACTCCCAATTCACCTTATCTGCCAACACATCGACATTTCGTCATTGTTCATGCGGCACATGAGTCATCCCACTTGGTGTAGAGAGCCATGACCACACGTCTGTCTGCCCCCTAAAGCAGACTAATCCCAGTTGATCCCACCTCTCCTACTCATATGCGATGGAGGCATTCCGGCTGATTGAGCCAAAGCCTCGCCACATCGACTAGGTAGACTAATAATAGGTACATTCAACAGCTCTGTGTGAACACCTGAAATTGCCTTGATGCGACAATTTGCTTTTCAAAGCATTAAAAAACCAAATCGATGAACTTATGCGCAAATCGCCTCATTCAACCTTCCATCGGTCAGGTCACGACGTTCAATTAGGAGGGCGTGTCAAAGTGCATTGTCTTCATCGGAGCGTGCGGTGCCTCCACACACGACGACAATGGTGCGTGCTCACTTCCACATCTATGCAACAGTTGCTGGAATGCCGCATATCGTCCAATCAACACACCAATCGCACTAGGTATGATGCGATGCCAGGCATATCACACACGACATGGCAAATCACACTCCTTCCTTCATGAAGAACCGCTACGCATTCACTGATGAATGTGAAAGGGGGTGTAAAGGGGCTACCGGCCGCTCAAATTGATTTGGTCTGTTCCCACCACCATCTTCCAACTCGGATGCCTCCTTGAGGGGCTCTGCTCAACGCGCAGCAACACCGATGGGTGAGAGCGGAGTTCGCAAGGTGTCCGTGTCGAATCGATCCTCGCGTGAACACAGCTCAGGCACTCAGGGTTGCTGATGCTCACTCAATCACCCTCCGTGGATTGGGAACATACCATTTGACAAGGAAATATTTCGTGATTCATTTGCCATTTCGCCTAAAACCTCCTGACAATGGTGATGCTAAGTGTATTCGCAGTAAGGTTAGGGACAAGGGTTTTGGATGACATCATTTATATAGCATAAATGGAATTCGTTTCCATGAGAGACCACTTCCGCACTTTCTGGAAGGAAACCTGGGTGTGAGTTGACACCCCTGAAATGGCATAACTTGGCATTGTGAGGACAAATCAACACTGACACCAACAACCGGTGTTTCCATGGCCCTCTAGCATGGCGATAAGATCGACTGTTTTTGTGCAATAAGCTAGGGAAAGGAAGTACCTCGATTACGCGCACGCAGATTGGGTGAAAGGAATATAGCGATGGCCATGTCGTCACCTGTTTACATTCCCGTCGCTTAATTTATCCATCTTGAGTCTAGCCTACACCCCATTCAATCGACTGCTTAATTATCTTTCACGGGACGTCTATGCTTGTCACATTGAAGGAGGCATAAAACAGTTCAGTTTATTCTCTTGTTTACGAGACTTGTTGCACTGCGCCAGGCGCTTCTGGCACAACGTCGCTCGCGTGCTTGCGCGCACTTTAGGCGCACAGCGAACATTCTAGAAGTCGATGTGAGTCAGCACGGCTACGCCTCGCATTCTGGAACCTTCAATCAGCACCTTCGCTTACTTCAAGCCACAGAAAAAGACACCACAAAAGGGGACATGGAAAGGACATGGAGGGGGTTAGCACCACCCGAGTAAAAGACGAAGCGTTTCCACAAATAATGAACAAATCATGGGTTATAACTGACAACAATGCGGTGTTTGAAGAGGTTTAGTAGAACGACAGCTCTGACAACTCGTCCTCAGGATGCAATTCTTTTCGGGCACCCTGTGCACTAACCAGCCGCTCCGAATTGGAAGCGCTCATCGAACAAAGTAACGTAGAATTCGCATTCAGAGTGCACGACAGCAACAAGTCAGTCAACCATTATTTGCAACTTTTCAGTCGGCGACTGTTATCGCGGCGGTATGCCAGGTAAGGGACGAGACTTGATGGCTGCCATACAAACGCGTCAGGTGGAGCACCTGCAGACCTTGCTGCCAGTCCCCGCCTTCCAGAAGACCACACCCAACTCGGACCAGCAACACCCCAACGCTAAGGCAACTACCCCTCGCCTCAGCCATAACAAATATACGCCAAACGTGAGTAGTCACCGACGCGCAATACCCAGAACTTGGAAAACCCGCTCCCCAACCCTTCGGGTAACCGCTAAAGGCTCAAAAGTTCGGTTTCACGGAACGAACAGGCTTAATAACGTATTTTACATATACACACAGACAACATACAAAACTTTAGTCAACTTCTTCCATAGCAGCACCGTCATCTCCGGCCTCAACAGGCGCAGCAACGTCGCTACTGGCGGTATTCTTCTCCTCCTCCTTCATGGTCTCATCCTCTGGGATCTCCAGGCACATGCTAATCAGCTCATGGATCTTATTGGCGTGAGCTTTCGGATCTTCCAAAGTGAAGCCCGAGGCGAGCAAAGCAGTGCTGAAGAGCATGTTGATTAAGTCCTTACAGATCTTATTCGGTTCGCCCTCAGCTGACAACATCTCCTTGAGACGAATCATAACTTTGTGATCAGGGTTGATCTCCAAATGCTTCTTAGCCGACATGTATCCCATCGTGCTAGAGTCCCGAAGAGCCTGAGCCTTCATGATCCGCTCCATGTTAGCAGACCAACCAAATGTGGAGGTAACAATACAACAAGGCGAAGTGGTGAGCCTGTTGGACACAGTGACTTTTTCAACCTTATTGCCCAAGATGTCCTTGATTTTCTTGCAGGTAGGCTCGAAGGATGCCTTTACCTCCTCGAATCTCTTCTTCTCCTCTTCGTCTTCAGGCAGTTCAAGACCCTCCTTCGTCACGCACACCAACTTCTTTCCGTCGTACTCACGCAACTGCGGCACGGCATACTCATCAATCGGATCCACCATGTAAAGTACCTCAAGGCCGCGCTTCTTCAGTACCTCAATAAAGGCAGAATTAGCAAGACTCTCCTTGCTTTCACCAGTAATGTAGTATATGTCCTTCTGGTGCTCCTTCATGCGAGACACGTAATCTTTTAGACTAGTCATTTCGTCACCACTTTGCGAGGAATAGTAGCGCAACAACTCAGCCAATTTTTTGCGGTTCGTACTATCTTCATGAATGCCAAGCTTGATGTTCTTTGAGAACTGCTCATAGAACTTCTTATAAGTCTCCGTGTCCTCCGCTAATTCTTCAAACAGCTCCATGCACTTCTTAACCAAGTTCTTCCGGATAACCTTCAAAATCTTGTTTTGCTGCAACATCTCACGGCTGATGTTTAGGGGTAGGTCCTCAGAGTCGACGACACCCTTGATGAAATTCAGGTACTCGGGAATGAGATCTTCGCAGTTGTCCATGATGAACACGCGTCTAACATAAAGCTTGATGTTATTACGCTTCTTCCTGTTCTCAAATAGGTCGAAGGGAGCACGCTTGGGGACAAACAACAACGCGCGGAACTCCAGCTGACCCTCAATCGAGAAGTGTTTGACGGCCAGATGGTCCTCCCAATCATTGCTCAGCGACTTATAGAACTCCCCGTACTCTTCCTGACTAATGTCTTCAGGGTTTCGCGTCCACAAAGGTTTGGTCTTATTCAACTCTTCTTCATCAATGTACTTCTCTTTAATTTGCTTCTTCTTCTTCTTTTTCTTCTCACTTTTCTCCCCACTTCCTTCACCACCTTCCTCCTCTGATTCCTCTTCATCGAGATCCTCCACCTCCGGCTTCTCTACGTCAGGTTTCTCCGCGTCAGCTTTCTCCTCCTCCTTGACTTCCTCCTCCTCATCATCCGAAACCTCCTTGGTTCGCTCTTTCTCCACAAACAGCTTGATAGGGTAGCTGATGAATTGGGAGTGTTTCTTGATGACCTCCTTAATGCGACGCTCCTCTAAGTACTCGGATTGGTCCTCCTTAATGTGCAGAACCACTTTGGTACCACGACCCAGTGGCTCCTCACTGCACGGACGGATCGTAAACGAGCCACCGGCTGAAGACTCCCATAGATACTGCTCGTCATCGTTATTCTTGGAGATAACCTGGACTTTGTCTGCAACAAGGTAAGCTGAGTAGAAGCCCACGCCAAACTGCCCAATCATGGAGATATCAGCACCAGCATTCAGCGCCTCCATGAAGGCTTTTGTCCCTGAGCGCGCAATTGTACCCAAGTTGTTCACCAGATCGGCTTTAGTCATGCCAATGCCCGTATCAATGATAGTTAGTGTGCTCTCAGCCTTGTTAGGGATGATCTACAAGAAGAGACACCAGTTGAACCGATCGCGCATGACAATCCACGAATAACTAACAGTAACATCACATACCTTAATGCACAGTTCGGGTTCGGTGTCGAGAACCGATGGTTCCGTGAGGCTCTTGTAACGAATTTTGTCCAAGGCGTCCGAACCGTTGGAAATCAACTCTCTCAAGAAGATCTCCTTGTTTGAATAAAATGTGTTAATAATAAGACTCATAAGCTGAGCAATCTCTGCCTGGAAGGCAAAGGTCTCAACCTCCTGCGCCATCGGAACGTCAGTATCAACCTGATCAGCCATAGTCGCAAAGACGAAGCGTAGATAATGTGGTAGTAGTCCATCGCAAACGCTTATAAATCAGCCTTCGAATGTTCTGGAACAGCTGCGCAATCTAACCAATCCTATAACAGTAGAAATTTCTAGGCTAGTCCAGTCGAATTTGATTGGTTACCAGAAGTCACCATGTTAGCATATTGCGTTAGAACCCAAAGTACTAGGATCAAAGGTAAAAAACCAACTTTCAGGTTTTTTTTACCAACGTAGGCAAGATTTGGTGCTTAAGAGTATTTATTCTCCCAAAAATCTGAACGCATGACTATTCGAAACCCTTTCTCGTTCTTCCTACCCTGCGTACATACTTACATATCCGCGTCGCTACAAATAAAAAATTTTAAAACTAAACAAATAATACGTAGTTCTGTTCCGGGATTTCACACACTACGAAATTTAATTAAGG